GTCCTAAACATGGCTTTGGAATCTCCATGTTGGATAATTTCAAAAAGCACATCCTTTGGAGTTCATTTGGGAGTTTATGAACTTTTGAACTGATGTATGAGCTGAAAGTAGATTCTATGCTATTGTCAAGTCACTTTCTGGTCCATATGGGATTTGCCATTGAAAAGTAGTTGAATAATTAAGAGGCTCCATTGTAGGTTCCTGATAGATCATGATGGATTATTAATACCTCTAGTTTTGGAGGATGAATTATCATTCTGATTATTACCTAATCAAAAAGCTACTTGTAATTAGTGGAAAACCTATACAAGACACAGAAAAAATCTATAAATGTTCTAGCCAAATAATATCAGCAAATCTAAAGAAAGATACAATAGCCAATGGGAAATGGCCAATCAACATCCAAGGAATGAGACTTAACAGAGTATATTAATTGTTCTATCCCAGATTTGTCATATACCCACACCCACACATACACACACAAAGCAGTGGCAGGCAGGGCATGTATACAAATACAAACACAGTCTTAAATAGTCCCAAAATCCATACAAGCAAGACCCTAATAAGAAAAAGTTCCAAGCAGCAGACATAAACATCATCAAGGCACAGTCCCAAAATCATAAAGTCATCACAGGGTCATCAACTGGTCTTGGTATAAAAGGACAGAAATTTCATAGGCAACAATAGGTACAACAGATGGAGGTTCCAGGTGCAAGCAATAACCAATCTAATTGACTCTGGACAGTGAACCATATCATAACAATTAAAACCGTAAAAAAACAGTTACAAATAATCCATATAGATAATTGAGAATTATAATAATTACATAAAAATTAACCATGTAAACAGGTAACTGTGCCCCCAACATTTTCAGGATCCCAGGCTCATTCAGATAGCCAGGTCTTTAGAGTCTTATGAACAAGGTAGGGGTCATGCAGATCTTCTTGTTTTGCCCTTCACTCAACCCTACATGACAGGACTGAGAGGAGCCTTGATCAAATCTCCGCATTTTCTGCTGCTTCCAAACTGCTCCAGAGATTCTGCAGCCAGATCAGTCTGAGGTGTTTTCTTGCTGCTCTCTGAAACAGGTTGCTATTCCACATGCTCCTCTGATGTATCCCCGTTCTCCTTCTCCTCTGCCTCAGAGGAGAACTGGTCATTAAATAACTATTGTACAATATTCATAATTTTTCATTTTAGCTAAATAATATAATCCAACACACATTAGAACCCTAGATGAAAAGGAAGGTGCCAGGTGTTCAAGCTGACTAGAACATGAAATATTGCTGATGCAGTCTGGATAATTGAGAAAGCCAAAGAATGCCATAAAGGAGTAAGTTTATCCATTGATTATAGAAAGACTGTTCTTTGTGTCAAGCTGTGGAATGTGCTTAGAAAAATAGAAATTCAGAATATCTCATTGTCTTCATAGGAAAGTTATATATAGGCCAAGAAGCCACAATCTAGAAAGAACATGGTGAAATACTGGCTACAGGTTGGCAAGGGAGTAAGATAAGGATGGATATTCTCCCATATTTGTTCAGTCTATATGCTGTGTGCATATTGAGGGAAGCCAAATAGAAGAATATGAGGGTAGTCTTTAAACTGAAGGAAAAAGCATAAATAAGCTAAACTAGGCTGCTGGTGCTGCTCTGATAGCCAAAACATAAAGGATTTGCAAGCTCTAGTAATAAATGTCAAGGAACACCATGAAAAAAATGGAGCTAAAGTTAGACCAAACAAATGACAACAGGTAAAACAATCAGCCTTAGAATTGACAATGATATTAAAATTATATTTAAGGGTTGCCTGGCTTCTGCCTTTTAGGATCAGCCATCAAAAGGAAAGGAACAAGCAATCGAGAAATATGCCACAAACTAGTAGAATAGCCATGATTATTTAGATGCTGTGATTATAGGTATAAAATCAGAATTATGCAAACTATGATATTCTCTAGCCATGGAAGCAAAAGTTGGATCTGAAGAAGCAAATGGATCATTGAACAAATCAATCTAGAAGTCTCAGTTGAGACACAAACAGGATTAATTTATTATACTTTGGATACATTCTGTGAAGATTTAGCCCTCTGGAGTAATCTATAATGCTGAAGGAAAGGAAAGAAGAAGATGACCAGCAGCAAGGACTTAGAGCAGCACATTGTTGGAAGATCTGAAGGACAAGTTGTGGACAGATAGTTCTGGAGAAAATTTATCTGTGAGGTCACTAAATTTGGTAGATTATCAAACAAATTGTGATGCATGATTCTTCATTTGATTTATTGGGTTATCAATGATGTGTATTTGTTCTCTCTGTTTTTAATTCAAGTCATGTATTTGGAGAAATGTAAATCACCCAGTTTGATTGGAGCAGTTTATAAGACCTGCAGGCATTCAATCAATAAAATAATGTAATACAATCACACATCATGTTATCTCTCAATATGTTGAATAAATTTCTGATTATAAAAAAGTAATGGTGCAAAAAATAAAAAGAACATTGAAGATTCAAGCTATATTTTGTTATAAATTCACTTTCAAAGAATAAAAACAGAGGCAATGCATAGGAGACACATAATATCTTTAGGAACTGATTAGAATGAATGTTTGAAGACAAAGCAAGATTATTCTGCTGTCCTTAATTCTATATTGCAGAAGTTAATGAATTTGGTGGACACAAATATGATGTTTCAGCAACTAGGGTTTTCATAAGTAATCTGCAACCTTTTCTGTTCTGACCCCCCTCGTTCCATACCAAAGTACTCCAAGCCAAAGATACTTTACAGAATTTATTAATAGACAGACAAGTCCTTGGCAGCAAACCGGCACAGATAAGCGTTGGCAGCAATCCAGCCTGCCAAGATCACAACAGTGTTCTCCAACATTAATTAATGCGTTGACTTCTGCAAAAGGGGTGTGTGCACAAGCATTCCTTTTATAGTCTGGAGAGGAGCCTAATTACCACCAGCTGAGTGCAATTACCTCCTGTAATTGTGTAATTGTTCTTTACGCCTATTAGCTCTCTGGTGCCGGGCACCTAGGAACAATTCCCTTGGCTCCTCCCCACTGCTGACGTCCGGATCACACTCCTGTCTTCTCCCCACTGGTCCAAGGCTCAGGCGCCTCCTGGTGGACAATCAGCCTCTCTGCGCCCTGTCCAGGGTCCTCCACATCATCCAAAGCTGACTCATAGGGCCCCTCGCTGTCGGAGTCTGGTGGCAGCTCCAACAGCTCCTGCTGGGCCACAACACTTCCCCATTTGTATGGAGAGAGAGAAAAAAAGTGTGTGTGTGTGTGTGTGTGTGTGAGAGAGAGAGAGAGAGAGAGAGAGAGAGAATATGTATGTAAATGACATACAGACTTGCTACATGTACATAGCTGATGAACATGTGCACATTGGGAGAGGGAACAAGGTATATTTATATTACATAGTTTCTGGAAGTTCCTGATATTTTTCCTTCTAAATATATTTTACAGTTTTGCTTTTTGTAGCCACCTGGTATGAAGAAGGAACTATGACAGAGTTATGAAAAATAAAAGTATATGGGAAAGAAGGAAAAATTCAAAAGCATTAATTTGCTTCAATTTAACATTATACAGGTGTCTTACAGTTATTGAAATTAGATCACAGAAAGGACAGGGACACTGACTTTAGGATTAAAAGGTATGTTTTCCAAGAAAATGGAGGAAAATCATAAATGTTGACAGGCTGGAAAGAAATTAGATATTTAATAGGGAACGTAATTGAAGTTTTTAAAATGTCTTGCCTAGTTTTGCTATTGCCAACTTCAGTTTGGGAAGTTAATTTATTCCAGAACTAGAATAATAGCTGTCAATGAAAACATCAAAGGACACATTTTCTCCTCCTACCTCCAAAACTCTGCATTTTCTGATCTAACTAAAGACTGAAAGCAAACATAAGTGAATCACCAGGGAAAGAGAAGCAAGGGAGAGAGAATGTCTACGCCATTTCAAGTAAAAATCTACTACAGTTCTCTTGAATAAAAGCAGTAGATGCTGCATTAAAATGACTTTGTCCTAGATATTCTTTAATCTCTTGTTATGCTTTTTATTTATTTGTTTCTTACATTAATATGGCAACCCATCTGACACCCATCTCTGAAACGAGTACAATAAAACCTACCATAAAAATACTATAAAACCAATTAAAAGCAATTACAGCTGTAAACAAAGATTAAAAACAAAACATAAGAAAGAGGGTTTACACATTTTTGTTCTTGTGCTATTCTTTTTATTAGCCATGTCAATGTGGGAGAAGACAAGCACAAAAAGGAATTCATAGGAGTGGGGAATTACAATTATACCACTATTCAGCACTTACCTTCTAGCCATCTCTCTTGCCCTTAAAAAGCAAGGAAGAGCCTTTTCTATAGTAAATTTTACTTCTAATAATATTTTCATTCTCAGAAGATACCTAATTGAGATCTTTGGGGAGGCACCATTATTTTTGTTTATATATTGTCAGAAAGGTGCTTTTTCAATTGGCTCTCTGTTTTTCTTTGAAGATGTTTAGCTTCTCATCCAAAAAGCATCGTCAGCTCTGACTGGATGGTGAGGAAATGAAAGGATTCCATCCAGTCAGAGCTGAAGAAGGATGAGAAGTGAAATATCTTCAAAGAAAAACCAGAAAGTCACTTGAAAAAGCACCTTTGTGACAAGCATGACTGAGAATCTCATAGACTTTGTTTATATAGTATTGATTTATTATGAAACAATACCTATACAATGTAGAAATGCAGAATGATTTTTTAAAAAGCAAAGGGAAAAAGGCCCACCTAAAGAAAGAAGGAAAGTCTCCCTGCCATTTTCAGATATGAAATGATCTGACTTATTATTTGCTAAATCATAACATGCTCTGTTTCTACTTTTCTTTTTCCCCTTCCAGTTTTCGATTGCAATTTTGAAACACCCTGTGATCTAGAATATTCCCCACCACTGAGGGAGGGCCATAACAGATCCTGGCATAGACTAAATGCAGATGGACTCTCACAGCTTCATGTTCTGGATGGTCCAGAGAGAGACTACTCTGCAGGTTCTACAAAAGGTAAGAGCAACAGAATAAAATCCATATAAAACAAAGCAAAATGGTTGAACTCTTTTAGTTTTGATGGAATAAGCTTTGGAAGAAAACACAAAAAGTCATTGGCGACTTTACGTTCTGTTTCTCAACAGAAGTTAGTGTCAATGGATTACATTTGCTGTGAAAGCTTGCCGGAGACCCCTAGAATTAATTGTCATGAAAGACAGGCTAAACAGTGAAATGGATGAATTAAATTAAAATGAAGACTAATAAGAACAACAGCATGTAGCTTCATCCATAACTTTTTAAATAAGAAGTATGTGATAAACAATCTAAACCAGTAATTGCATTTGAAGTGGGTTTGAACAATCTCTCAACAATCTGATATTATTATACGAGAATATAGTTATTGCTGGAATGTTGCAGACAGAGACAAAGTGTGGCAATATTAAGCAAGCAGGATTTCATAGGATAATTGCAATAATCAAATGGCATGAACATTTGAATTTCCCCAAACACTATTTTGCTATCAATCAGATTTTTTTTGTTCTCCTGAAACATCTTAAAAATTCCAGATCAGCAGTAGATTATGACACAACAATTCCAATACTTGGATCATGCATATAGAATAGAATAATGAGTTGGAAGGGACCTTGGAGATCTTCTAGTTCAAGCCCCTGCTTAGGCCGGAAACCCTACAGCACTTCAGACAAATGGTTATCCAACATCTTCTTAAAAACTTCCAGTGTTGGAGCAGTTACAACTTCTGGAGGCACATTTTTCCACTGATTAATTGTTCTAAGTGTCAGGAAATTTCTTCTTAATTCTAGGTTGCTTCTCTCCTTGATTAGTTTTCACACATTGCTTCTTGTTCTGCCCTGATATACTTTGGAGAATAGCTTGACTCCCTCTTCTTTGTGGCAGCCCCTGAGATATTGGAACACTGCTATCATGTCTCCCCTAGTCCTTCTTTTCATCAAACTAGACTACATGTTGAGTGCAGCCAGTTGGTCAGCCAGTTACGAATCCATCTGATGGTGATGCTGTCTAACTCACATTTTTCTATCTTATCAAGTAGTAGGTTATGGTCTACTTTATCAAATGCCTTACTGAAGTCCAAGTAAACAATACTGACACCATTCCTCTGGTCCACTACTTTTGTCATTTTGTCAAAGAATGCAATAAAATTAGTCTGACATGATCTGTTTTTGACAAACCCATGTTGGCTTTTGGCTATTACTTTGTTTGCTTCACTGGTTTGTTGCTTAATTATTTTTTTCCAGAATATAGTGGATGTGTTCAAGGTTCTTCTAAATGTAATCATCATCTTAATTGCCAGAGAAGTGCTGCCACCTGGTAGTTGTCATGTCATTTACCCAGCCCTATATACAGATTTATTTATTTTTTAATCTTTTTTATCTGCCTTAAATGCCATCATTTCAGGAATTAAAGGCTGAATAACAAACAACAAACTCCCTTGAAATAATGTCCTGAATCATACTTTCCTCTCTGTGAAATGGGAATAATTAGATTTGATTATTTTGCAGGGCTGGCAATGATCATTTTCCTCAGCCACTGTTCTGCTTTTTGTTACAAATGTGTAATGATCATGTGCCTGGCATTTAAAAACTTTTTAAAAATCATCATTTTCTTTAAAAAAAACTGAAATAGAAACATAAACCACAGTCTTTTCTCCTGATTCCTATCATTTGTCATAGCTGCATCAAGAACTCTTTGTTTTTCCGAATTGTTTTGTTTTGTTTAAATTTTACTATACATGAAACAGTTTTTCTCTTCAGGAGGAACAAAAATTCTTCTTCAAATTTCTTTGTTACTAGAACTGTTCATTAACTAAAGGCAATGAAAAGCAGAAACCAGGTTTTCTTGCAAAATAGACAAAAAAATTCTTTTTATCCAGTTCAATAAAGGTTAGATTGTAGTTTTTTTTCTTTAATGAAAGCTAGAATTTGGAGGATTAGATCTCATTGGTAGGGGCTCTGAAAACACCTGAAGCCAAAGGTTGTTCTTGTAAACATTCCAGTAGAAATGATAACTTCAAATACTGTCTGAAAAGAGAAACCTTATTTGAAATTGCTTTGTGCAACTCAGATCAAACGGAGAGTTTACCATTAACAATTCTTACCCAGTGAAGTGAACTCTGACAGAGTTCCTTCAACTGAGCATCAGACTTATGATCCACCATTATCTGTTTCCCTTTCACACCTTTTAAAGATAACTTGGATTTTTTTGTTCTTTCACCTATGACTTCTTATTCAATTTAAAATCATTTTTATTGCAATTATTTGGCAGAGAGCCTTTATGTGTGGTCTGCTTTAATCTGGGGATTATTAAAACACTGTACTTTTCATCCCTACTGCTTGCTTCCTGGAAATATGATTCCAATTAGATGCTTCCCATTTAAATTTTATTCATAGATTGTGAATAAAAGATGTAAGTAAGTAGGGCATGGAGTTACCCTGGGAAAACATTGTAGGTTGCAACTGGGTGACTTACAAGATAGTCACTGTCAATATATCAAGCAATATCTATAGTTATTAAGATTCTATTAGAAATGGTTATTTGAATTTTCAGGTTATAATCCCTGTAGCATAAAAAATAGGAGGGCTGTTTCTTTTTTGAGATTTAATATTTTCTCACAGAATGTTATTCTTCTGAACAGTATTTTCTTGGATCTTAATTTGTACCTGAAGTTCTCAGCTCCAAATGTATATTTGATAAGAGATGCTAAAGGTTACCTCTTCAGACAGCAGAGTGGACTTTTATAATGGGATGAATTAAATGTCTAAGTAGTGACTCTCCTTAATTAATTGTCAGTAATCTTCAAGAGGGTGGGAGGGAGGAAAGGAAGAAGGGAGGGAGGGAGGGAGACTAAAATGTCATTAAATAACACATGCACCTAAACTGTTTCTAACAGGTTTCTATATCTCAACTGTCAGCATTTATGTCTAGGAGAATAATCTTTTGTGGTTCTTTCAACCATAGTGTATAAAATATTTCCAGTAACAAGGCCTGCACTGGATCCTGTATCCCTTTCACTTGTCTCAATAAAATTAATGAACTACTGCATCAAAGGCCACTAGAAGGTTGAGGAAAATCAATTGGGAAGTGCTCCTTTGGTCTGCCCCTAGTTAAGATCATTAGGACATGGCAGGTTGCCATGTAGAGAGAGCCAGTGTGTTTGTACACACCTTGTTTGATACCTGCCAGAATCTTTTTCTTATATGAGGTTTGCTTATGTAAAAGAAACTAACATGCTATTAAGCCAAATGCCATACTGTATTGTTTGATCATTGAGTGATTCTGGACCAGTCATCATCTTTCAGCCCAATTCTCTTCATAGATTTCAGGTAAAAGGAGAAAGGGAGAATATACTATGCTCAATTCATTACATTTCCTGGAGAAAATTATGTATACAATATAAATAAATATGCAACTTGAAAGCAAAAATTAAAAAGCTGAATATCTGGCATTCCAGGAAACGGGGAAATAGGTAATGTTTTAAAATAGATTTGATCCTTATATATACACACACCAATTACTAACTCTACTTCTGCCTTATTTATTTCGATATTGGTTGCTTATTTACTGTCCCTCTTAAATTATTCATTCACCTGTAATGTCACAAATGCACCAACAGTTTGTTTCTGCAAGCCCCCATGTGTAATCAGGGATTAAGCAAAAAAAAAAAAAAAAAAGAGTCCATGGTCTCAGACAATCTCTCTCCTCATCAGAGTTTCTTCCCATAAACAAGTATTGTGAGTTGGTTCTATTCTAAATTGTTGACTTTGCTTATTTCCCAAAAGAAATATTTGTTTGCTTATTTTGTTTGTCCTCCTGATGGTTTAGCAGATATTTAATGTACTGGTTTTTCTAACGCTGTCCTGAATCTTGTATTCCCAACTGGTTATCCTGCTTAGCTGTCTTTATTAGTTTATATCTCCAAGCATTTTATATAGACTTGTTTGAAGATTGGAAGTGTCCTGTATTAACCTAGATAAATGCACATAAATTCCGGAAACTCTTATTATGGTTTCTGTGATTATGAAGCAAATAGTAAAATGTACCTTTAACCATTTTAAATATATTGAGAGAAAATAACGATTATTTCATTTGGTTCCAAAATTGAATTTCAAAAAGAAAAAACAAATCTTCCTATGAGCAATTTACATTATAAATTTAATTTTATCTTAGTTTCTCTTTTTCTGAACATTAAATTCACTTTGCTCCAATTGTACATTGGTCAATTTTTTTTAAAAAAAGGCAAACCTACCAAAGTACTGAAATTAAGCCTTAAAAAAGATGATGTCTATTCATTTGAGAACCAGCTTGCTGTCTGCTAGCTGTGGACATGTTGACAGCCAGGACAGCCAGTGAGGTCTAGTGCTTAAGGCACCATGCTTTAATGCAGGAGACTGAGTTGGTAGAAAAAAATATTAGAGATAGTCCTCATTCAGTTACTGCTTCATTTAGTGACTATTCACAGTTAAAAGAGTAACAAAAAAGTAATTTTATGAGCAATCTTCCCATTTTCTACCTTTATAAATCTATAAAACAAAGGAAAGCTGAAGTAAGGTCCCAAGTACAGTCATGGTTTTTACTTTGCAACCACTTTGCTTAGTGAGCAAGTTAATCCTAATTGTAATCACTCAAAAAAGACTGTGCATCCATGTAACATCTGTAGAAGACATAGGGAAGGGCCTTGAAGGGCAGGAAGATGACTCACCACCAAAGAAACAGTCAGTTAAAGGCAGGCCAAGAAAATAGCTTGTTAAAACTTTTCAGACAAGCACTTTCCTGATTCATGGTGTTAAAATGAGGAGGGAGTATAAGTACATGCTAGCCAGCCGGATGGATGGATGGATGGATGGATGGATGGATGGATGGATGGATGGATGGATGGATGGATGGACGGACGGACAGACAGACAGACATGCATTTTAGTGTGATTCTTTAATTTTGGAAACAAGATAAAATTTGGAAAAATATATTTCATTTTAACTATT